AAGTTTATTAAAGTAAAATAGAACAATAAAATAACCAAGGAAAAAGAAAATAGATAAATTACATTAGTTTTGAAAAGGGGAGCCTTGTTAGCACAGGAGAGAATTTAATGCAGGGGTCTCCAACCTTGGCAACTTTTAAGACTTGTGGACTTCAACTCCCAGAATTCCTCAGCCAGCTTTGCTGGCTGAGGAATTCTGGGAGTTGAAGTCCACAAGTCTTAAAAGTTGCCAAGGTTGGCGACCTCTTGATTTAATGTACTTTCCAAGATAGGGAATACAGGCTGGGAGGGGGGGCACAGTGTGACAATTGGTGCCTTGGCTTCTTAGTGTGTCGGTTTCCTGTTGTGGGAAGTCCACTTAAAAAATGTGGCTTCCGGGCCAAAAAGTTCCTTGATCAAGACCAGGCGGATGTGAGAGTGCGAGAAAAACAACCGAGTCAAGTCAGAACAGTTCCACTTTCGATTCGGGATTCGGCGCTCCAAATCGACAAGTTGAATCGGATCAGCAAAGGTTTGGACTTCAACTCCCAGAATTCTCCAGCCAGCAAGGTGAGTCTTAAAAAAGTTGCCACGTCTGAAGACCCTCAGTCTAGGCGGGGTTGGGCTAGACTAGAAGACCTCCCGGGTCCCTTCCAACTCTGGCACTCTTGTTGTTTTTAGGGCCTCCCCAGCTCCTAAAAAAACAGGACAACATGAACGGGGGGGAGGTGGAAGACCCTCCCCCTCCCTTGAAAGGGGTCCTTGGGGGGGGAGGTTTATAATCTGGGAGGGAGGGAAGGAGACCCCCCCCCATTCAATAAACCAGGGAGTTTTTGTTCAGGATGTGTCGCATCAGCACGGCCAGCTGCGGAATTCTGGGAATTAAAAGTCCAGAAGCCTTAAAAAGTGCCGAGGTTCGAACTTGGTGACGTTTTGAAGCCTTGAGGATTTCAGCTCCCACAATTCCATGCCAGCTGGGCACCTCTGGGAGTTGAAGTCCAGCCATCTTAAGAGACTGAGAAACGAGGCTGGAGAAGCAAAATGGATGGACTTCCGCTTCCAGCATTCCATGCCAGCTGGGGAACTCTGGGAATTGAAGTCCAGAAGCCTTAAGAAGTCGCCGAGGTTTGACAAGCGGGCTTCAAACTCGGCGACTTTTTGAAGCCTTGTGGATTTCAGCTCCCAGGATCCCATGCCGGCTGGGGAACTCTGGGAGTTGAAGTCCAGCCATCTTAAGAGACTGAGAAACGAGGCTGGAGAAGCAAAATGGACGGACTTCCGCTTCCAGCATTCCATGCCAGCTGGGGAACTCTGGGAATTGAAGTCCAGAAGCCTTAAGAAGTCGTCGAGGTTCGAACTCGGCGACTTTTTGAAGCCTTGTGGATTTCAGCTCCCAGGATCCCATGCCGGCTCGGGAACTCTGGGAGTTGAAGTCCAGCCATCTTAAAAGTTGCCGAGGCTGAGAAGGGAGGATCCAGAAGCAAAATGGAGGGGCTTCAACTCCTAGAGTGGCCCAACCCGCCTGCCCAGAACACAACGGGTGCCGCCTCCGCTGCCCTTTATTTGCGCCCAATTAAATGTCGTTTTGCTCTAGGCAGGTGCCAAAGTCCAGGTGATACGACCTCTGGCAGGTGTCCCAGCCCTGGCGAAAGGGGAGGATCGGTTCCAAGGGTCGAACCCATTCCGGTAGCCACTCCCCCCCCAAAAGGGGGAGGATAGCATGGCCGCCCTTCCCCTCCCCTCCTCGGCTTAGATTCCCTTCACCTTTGCGGACCTGCTGGGACCCCCTTCCGTTCATACCTGGGCCTCCGTCCCTTTGCACCACCTGTCAATCTCACGTCCTCCGAGGTGAGTTGTGGTGGGGGAGGGAAGGGGGGGGAGCTGAAGGGGGCAGCACACCCCCTTTGGCTTGCTTGGGTAGGCCAATTAAGGCAGGTCGTTCTCACTTTACGACCTCAAATCGAGTCCCAAGATTTCCGTCGCTCAAGGAGACCTTGTGTTTCGCCCCGTTTTACAACCTTTCTCACCCCGGTTGGTTCTTAAGTGAATCGCTACGGTTGTTAAGTGGGCCACAGGGTTGTTAAATGAATCCGGCTTCCCCGCTGGTCAGGGGGGGGGTCCAAAGGGGAATCACGGGACGCCGCGCAACCGTCATAACTATGAGTCAGTTGCCAAGTGTCTGAATTTTGAGGAGAAGAGCACGGGGACAGCGGCAACGGTCGCAAGTGTGAAAAAACGGTCGCACGCCCCTGTCTTCAGTGCCGTTGTAACTTCGAACGGCCACTAAGCAGACCGTCGTAAGTCGGGACTTACGACTTGCGAGAAAACCAGGAAGTTCAAGGAGCACCGAATTTGGGTCAGCGAATTCTGCAGGCCCAGAAGAGGGCGGAAAGCAGTCAAAATGGGTGCCAGGCACACCTTGGGGGTCCCTGCTCTGGGAGGGGGGTCTCAATCCCCCCCCCACTAATGGGGTGGGGGGGAGAACCCCCCTCCAGCAGCCCCTGGAGCGTTTGGCCATCCCAGACCAGGCAGTTTTTCCTCCACCAGCCCGCTGGGCTGTCCTCAAGGACCGGAGCTGTGCGTGCATTTTGCTTTACTGGAGAAATCTCCTTTGTGTGTTGTGTGTGTGTGTGTGTGTGTGTGTGTGTGTGTGTGTGTGTGTGAGAGAGAGGCCTGGCCCTGCACCTGCTTTTGCAGAGAGCTGCCTCCAGTCACATGAGAGTCAGACCTCGGTCTGCAAAAGAGGAAGGTGAAATTGCTGATTTTGGCCTCCGAAGCCTGCCTCCGCGTGAAACCAACTCCGATGACCTCTTTGCTGCCCTTCCATGGCGCCCAGGACCCTGATCCCCCCCTCCTCCTCCTCGTGGCTTCCTGGCACCCAGGACATGGCAGCCTCTGCCCCCCACACACACCCTGGCACCCTCCCACCCACTGCCCCATGGAGAGGAGGGCAGAGAGCCCGTGGAGAACGTCCCCTGGGGAGGGGGCTTTCGAGGGAGGGGGAGACCAGGTGGGCAGAGAGCGCCACCCCTTGTCTGAAATGGCACGGGGTCTCCCGCCCTGAGCAGGGCAGGGGGTTGGACTAGAAGACCTCCAAGGTCCCTCCCAGCTCTCTTCTTCTGTGGAGGACACAGCCCGTTCCTGATTGAGCACCAAAGAGGGGGGGCAGCCTTTGTGACACCCCCCCACTCGCTTTGAGCCCCTGGAGGGGGGAGGCGGGCAGGCAAGAAACGCGCCCGGGGGGGGTGATGCCACGCATGAGGTCCCACGGCCACAGCTGAGCAGTGGCTTCCGCCACGTCGTCGCAGGAGGGAAGAGGGGAACCGCCCCCCCCCGCGTTCACCCACCCTTGGCCGCTTCTGCCCCCCCCCCCACTGACTCACACTTTGTCAAAGCAGCAAGTCTCACTTCCTTCCCCTTCTGCCAGCCCTCCAGGCCCGACGGGGAAGCGGTGGGCCCAGAGTCTCGTGAGCCTCAGCCCTGCGAGGGAGACCTTCGGAGGCAGCCATGCAGCCGGTCAAGGTCTCGGTGGGGGCCGCCGTCCTGTGGCTCGCCAGCTGGTGCCTGCTGGCCGCAGGTGGGTGGTCTCCTTCCCGGGAACCGGGGAGGGCTGTTACCTGGATGGGGGGGAGGGAGTTGAAGTGGGGATCCCCGGAGGGAGGGGCAAATGAACCCCTCCAAACCCCGTGGGACGGGGTTTTTCTTGCAGAGACCCTCGGTGGGTGGACGGGTGGGGTCCCAGCCTTATTGCCCCCACTCCAAAATCGGAGGCACAAAGCAGAATGACCTGGGGAGGGGTCTGGAGGGTAAGCCTGGCTGGGTGGAAAGAGGGGCTGCACACAGATGCCCCCCCTCCCACTGGGCCGGCGTGGCTCCCCGGGGGCCACCAACTGACCGGTTCCTTGGGCCACTCTCTTGCAGGTCACCCCTCGGAGCTGGAGGACCCCTGGCAGCCCAGCTCCCCCCAGTCGGACTCTGCGAACTGGCCCCACTTCACCAAGTCGGCCCCTCTGGTGCCGGCCTTCACCAAGACCCCTGCCCATAAGCACAACACGACCCACCACCATCGCCACACCACCACCACCGCCCCCGCCAACCACACCTCCCACCCCCACACCACCACGCCCAGGAAGCAGACCACCACCCGCCACGCTACCACCCGCCACGCTACCACCACCCGCCACGCTGCCACCACTCACCCTGCCAATCGCACCTCCACTGCCCACCCGACTAGCCACCCCCAGAACACGACGCATGAGAAGCACCCCACCACCCACCAGGCCGCCACCACAACCCCCGCCAACCACACCTCCCACGCCCACCCCACCACCACCACCACCACCCCCAAGACCACGGCCCCACGGCCCACTAAGCCGCCGGGTGTGCTGGTGGGCAATTACACCGTCAAGCAAGGATCCGCCGTCTGTCTGCGGGCAGAGATGGGGCTGCAGCTGCGGGTCCGCTACGAAGACAAAGCCAAGCGGCAGGTGAGCATGCAGGATGTGTGTGTATGTGTGTGTGTGTGTTCCTGTGGGTCGGACGGGGCTGGGGGATCAGTGGGGCTGGCAGCCCGGGTGCCGAAGCTGGGCACCGAAGTCGACTTTTCTGAGCGAGGAGATTCCAGACCGTCAGCCGAGTTTCTCGGCATTGCGCGACTCGCTTTATGGCCGTCCTTAACCGGGTTACCCAACCAGACGGCTGCATTCGACAGTTTGGGGAGAGGGTGGATTTCCCCCTTTTGGATCTATCTGTCCCCGGCAGAGTGGCTCCTGTGGAACAGAGTAATAAAGTTGGAAGGGACCTTGGAGGTCATCTAGTCCAACCCCCTGTCCAAGCAGGAGACCCCCCCTAGACCAGGGGTGGGGAACCTTGGCTCTTTGATGACTCGTGGACTTCAACTCCCAGAATTCCTGGGCCAGCATGGGGGAACTATGGCCCCCCTCATGACTCGTGGACTTCAACTCCCAGAATTCCTGGGCCAGCAGGGCTCAGCTTTCCCCTCAGCATGGCTGGCTCAGGAATTCTGGGAGTTGAAGTCCACCAGTCATAAAAGAGCCCAGGTTGCCCACCCCTGTCCTAGACCATTTCGGACAAAGGGTTGCCCAATCTCTTCTTAAAAGCCTCCAGCATCCGCAACGTCTAGTGGCAAGCTGTTCCCCTGGTTCACTGTTCTCACTCTTTAAGGAAATTCCTCCTTAGTTCCAGGTTGCTTCTCTCCTTGAACAGTTTCCATCCGTCGCTTCTTGTCCTGCCCTTCTGGTGCTTTGGGAAATAGGGGGACCCCCGTCCTCTTCTTTGGGGCAGCCCCTCAAATACTGGAAGGCTGCTATCCTGTCCCCCCCTAGTTCTTCTTTTCTCTAGACAGGATGTTCCCCAATTTAAGAAGAGTGTGGGCGGGAGGGCACGGAGGAGGAAATGCAGCTGCCTCAGTTTACTTTGAGGAAACGGAGGGCCTGAGGGGAGGGGGGGGGCAGAGGGGGCCCTGCATGCCGTCTCTCCTTCCTCTCTTCCTTCCCTCCTTCCCTTCTTCCTTCCTTTTTTCCAGGTCTGGGGAGCCTTTGCGGTGCAGCCCAACCAGACCAACTCCTCGGGGACCTGTTCCAGCAAGACGGCCACCTTGAAACTACATTTCCCAGAGGGCTTTATTCTCTTCACTTTCCAAAAGGTGCAGGAAGAGGGTGGTGGGAAGGACGGAGGGGGGGGGAATGGTGGGGCCTATGGAGGCCAGCAAGCCGCTCATTTCAACACACACACACACACAACCAGGCAAAGGCACTGCCCACCCACCAAGGTTAAGAGGGCTTACAGAATGCAGAATGATAGGGTGGGAAGGGACCCTGGAGGTCTTCTAGTCCAGCCCCCCCCCTGCTCAGGTAGGAAACCCTATATAGCAAGGGTGTCCAAACTGGGCCGCTTTTGAGACTTGTGGACTTCAACTCCCAGAATTCCCCAGCCAGCCACGCCTGTTTTTTTTCTTTTTCACCTATCCCTTAAAGCGGAGAGATTGGAGAGGAAGGGATTACAAGAGAGTAAGCAGGGCCACAATGAGTATGCTGGCTGGGGATACCTTATATCGTTCCAGAATCCAGACCCAATGGCAGGATAAGGTCACACCTTAAGGCAGCAAGCTTCACGATTATAGGAAGTCCTCAGTGTACGACCATTTAGTCAGCAACCGAAAACGACCGTCGCAGCATCCCTGCAATCGCGTGATCGTGATCTGGGCCACTTTGGTTTATGTGGTTTAGGACGGTTACCACCCAGGGGAAGGTGGTGGCCAATCGCCAGCACGGGATGTCTCAGTTAATGACTGCACCGCTTCACGATAAATTTGGTCATACATCGAGGACTGCCCGCAGTTGGGGATGGGGGAAGTTTTTTAAAAATATAAACTTAATTTAATCAATAGTAACTTTATTGAGGATGACATTATGAGGGTTTATCTGTGTATTAATGTCACATTTCCTAACGTCCTGCCGACGTTGTGCTTTCCTGGGTGACTGGTTTATTTGAAAATATAATTTCTCTGCAATATTTTCAGACAGTCACCCTGCTCTTCCCCACACCCATGACTCATCGGGCAGTTCCCAAAAGGACCCCCCCACCCCCACCCACTGGTCAGACTGGGGTGACTCACTGGTCCTGATGGGGGGTGGGTGGGGGTGGCTCTAAGTCAGATCAGCTGGTCAGCAGGCATCACATGCCAAGTTGTAACTCAAGTGTTTCTCAAGCTTGGCAGTTTTCAGAGGTGGGGACTCCAGCTCCCAGAATTCCCAGCCAGGAAGTCCTCAGTTTATGACCATCTGGAATTTATGACCGAGCTTGAGAGACGCTGCTCTAGGTCCCATTGGGGGCAGAACATATGAATTTGGGGAAGGGGAGACAATAATAACAATAACAATAACAACAGTAATAGCAATAGTAATAATAGCAATAATAGCAATAATAGTAATAGCAATAATAATAGTAATAGTAATAATAGTAATAGTAATAATGGTAATAGCAATAGTAATAATAGTAATAATAATAATAATAATAGCAATGATAATAGTAACAATAGTAATAGCAATAATAATAATAATAATAATAATAATAATAATAATAATAATAATATAAGACAACCTTTATTGTCATTTTTTTTACTGTGGGCACAATGGCAATAATAGCAATAATAGTAATAGCAATAATAATAGTAATAGTAATAGCAATAATAATAGTAATAGTAATAGCAATAAGAATAGTAATAGCAATAATAGTAATAGCAATAATAATAGTAATAAGAATAATAATAATAATATAAGACAACCTTTATTGTCATTTTTTTTACTGTGGGCACAATGGCAATAATAGCAATAATAGTAATAGCAATAATAATAGTAATAGTAATAGCAATAAGAATAGTAATAGCAATAATAGTAATAGCAATAAGAATAGTAATAAGAATAATAAGAATAATAAGAATAAGATAACCTTTATTGTAATTTTTTTACTGTGGGCATAACGGTAATAATAGTAATAGCAATAATAATAATATTAGTAATAATAATAAGATAATAAGATAACCTTTATTGTCATTTTTTTATTGTGGGCACAATGGCAATAATAGCAATAATAGTAATAGCAATATAATAGTAATAGCAATAAGAATAGTAATAAGAATAATAAGAATAATAATAAGATAACCTTTATTGTAATTTTTTTACTGTGGGCACAACGGCAATAATAGTAATAATAGCAATAGTAATAGCAATAATAATAATAATAATAATAATAATAATAATAATAATAATAGTAATAAAAAAGTTGGAAGGGACCTTGGAGGTCATCTAGTGGCTTTGGCCTCTGACACCCCCACTTTCTAGGGAAAAACCCCTATTTTTCCCCCCTCTTCCTCAGAACGAAACAGAAAAGACAGCCTACCTGAGCCAGGTCCAGGCCAATCTCACCTACGGGTTCCCCCAGGCGACGACAGGTGAGCAGCTGGGGGGGCTGGCTCAGGGGTGGGGGGCAGGTTCTGTGCCCCGTGGCAGCACTGATGTCCCAGAGCTCATGGAGAGGGGGCCCATTTCGTGGGGAGGGGGGTCTCCTGCACAAATTTGGTGATTTGGGGGTCTTTGTGGGGGGGGGGACGTTTGCTTAGCCCCTCAAATTACGGCCGCAGGCAAGCCCCACCTGGCCTCAGCCACGAAGCCCCCCCCTTTAGCCCCCTGTCTGAATTCACACCCCAGCTGGCTCATCCACGGCCGGCGTGTTCTTCGACGTACAACTATCCATTTAGTGACCGTTCAGAGTTACACCAGGATTGAGAAAAGGGACCGTGTTTCACACCTACGACCGTCGCGGCGTCCCCGCGGTCACGTGACCAAAATTCGGACGCTCCTATTAATGACGGTCGCAGTCACGCGATCCCCTTTTGTGGCTTTCCGATGAGCATCCGGGGAAGCTGAGTTCACTTAACGACGGGGTTACTAACTTAAGAACTGCCGTGATTCGTTTAGCCACGGTGGCAAGGAAGGTGGTAAAATGCCCCCTTTTGGGGAGGGGGGGCAGCAGGTGGGATTTCCCCCGAGGGGGGGCGCTGAGCCCCTTCCCCACCGCCGCCTGGCTCTTTGTCTCCGTAGAGAAGACCTTCACGGCCAACAACACCTCCCTCCGGGAGTTCTCGGCCCCGCTGGGCATGTCCTACCAGTGCCTCAACCGCAGCCTGGACCTCACTGAGGACTTCCACTTGAGCGCCCTGAGCGAGCGGATCCAGGCCTTCCAGCTTCAGGATGGGAAGTTTGGAGAAGGTAAGCGCTGCCGCCTCTCCGCCACTTGGGGACTTCAACTCCCAGAATTCCACAGGTTATTTTTTTTCCCCACTTGGCCGAAGTAGAGGTATATTACGTCTACTGCGTTCCCACCGTCTACTAAGAAAAGTTACCCGATCCCCCCCAAAAAAGGGATCGTTCTCCTTCTGGCTGAATTCTGATTCAACCCAGGCTGGCTGGGGAATTCTGGGAGTTGTTGAGGTCCAAAAGTCTCCAAGTGACCCACTTTGGAGACCCTGGGTATAGGGGTTTCCTGCTTGAGCAGTGGGGGGGGTTGGACTAGAAGACCTCCAAGGGTCCCTTCCCACCCTACCATTCTGCATTCTGTAAGCCCTCTTAACCTTGGCGGGTGGGCAGCGCCTTTGCCGTGTGTGTGTGTGTGTGTGTGTGTGTGTGTGTGTTGAAATGAGTGGCTTGCTGGCCTCCATGGCCCCCAAGAGTCCCCCACCACTCCCCCCCCATCCTTCCCACCACCCCCTTCCTGCACTTTTTGGAAAGTGTGTGTGTGTGTGTGTGTGTGTGTTTGTGTGTTGAAATGAACGGCTTGCTTGCTTCCATAGGCCCCAAGAGGCCCCCACCACTCCCCCCTCTCGTCCTTCCCACCAACCCGACATACAACACAGAATCATAAGTTTGGAAGGGGACCATGGAGGTCTTCTAGTCCAGCCCCGAGCCCTCGGCTCCCAGGTTCAGGCCTTCCCTCTTCCTCCCATCCATTTTTGGGGTTCGGAAGTGCCTGTCTGAAGATTAGGAGGAAGCCAGGGAGCCCCCCACCCATCCTTACCCCCTTCGCCTTGATCCGTGTCTCCTGAGGCTTCCTCAACGAGTGGACCAACCACCGCCCCCCCCTTTCTCCCCATCACCCTAAGGAATTCTGGGGGTTGAAGTCCATGAGTCATAAAAGAGCCGAGGTTGCCTACCCCACCCTAAACCCCAGGGGGACAAGGACACCCCCTCTTCTGCCTCGGCCTCACTTTCCTTCCTCCGGCCCCTTCCAGCCGAGGTGTGTCCCGAGCAGAAGCGCTCCATCGTCCTGCCCGTCGTGGTGGGCGTGGTCCTCGGCCTCCTCATCCTCATCGTCCTCGTGGCCTTCGCCGTGGGACGGTGGCGGGCCCACACGGGCTACGAGTCCCTCTGAGAGCCCCCCCCCCAGCGGGCCCTTCTTCCTTGGGCCGCAGCTGGAGACCCAGACTTGGGTCCTTTCACACTTACGGACGGAGACGGCGAGAGAAAAATGCCAGCCACTCATCCTCTGCCCTTTTTTGGGACTGCCATTGGAGGGGAATTTTAGCTTTTTGACAAAATGGTCTCGCTTGCGGCGGGAGTGGGGGGGGAAGGCGGGAGGTTAAATAAGTTAAATCAGTACGCGGGTACTCCTCGGCTTACCCCGGTTTATTTAGCAACCGTGCCGAAGTTACAACGGGCCTGAAAAAAGCAGCTTTTTCACACCTTTCCCACGGTTGCGGTCACGTGATCCAAATTCAGACGCTGGGCAACTGACTCACAGTTACGACGGCCGCCATGTCCTGGGGTCATGGAATCCCTACCCCCTACCCTAAATTGTCTTCCTTGTGCCAAGCCATTTTTATAAAAAATAGAAAGAAAATTCTAATTGGAAAGCGACTTGGCAAAGAAAGAATTTTAAAGAGATTTTTAAAAAAACCCCAGAAGATTTGACCTTTTAGAGGGGGCCTTATAGATTTAAATACTTCTTTGCATAAGATTAAAAGAACGGAAGGCTTTTAGATATAATTAGACTTTTATAATGAAAGGTATGACTTAGAATTAAGATAGCGTTTTTTTTCCTCTCTCTTTTTTTTGGATATGGGAAATATGACAATAAGAGGGGTTGATTTGAATAAAACTTTCAGGGATATAAATGCAATTAATATTGAGAAAAATCATAACTGATGAATGTATTTCAAATACTGATGGGAAATCAAACTTTAGCAAGAGCACGAAAAGCAGGCTATTGACTAATGGATTGACACGATTGATTTGTGAACTGATATTATTATTATTTGTATGATATTAGTAAAATGTGATGAAGATGCTTATGTCTAACTCTGCGTACATTAACAGCACCCAAAACTTGTAATGGATTGTAATGAAGGGAAAATGGAAAAAAAAATATGGGAAAGAAAGGAGGATCAGGGAAAAAATACTGGATTGTGTAGCATTGAGCAGATTTAGATTGAAGAAGTTAAATATCTTAAATATTTGAACCCAGACAACCTGTTGTTTACTAAGCACTAAAGACTGTAATTTTTAAAAATGAATAAAACTTTTATTAAAAAAACAAAACAAAAAAAACACCAGTTCATTTAGTGACTGTATGAAAAAAGTGACGTACAACAGTTTTTTTTCACACTTTTCACATGGTTGCAGCATCCCCATGGTCACGCGATCCAAATTCAGACGCTGGGCCACGGACTCACAGTTACGACATGCAAAGTCCACGGGGGGGGGGGGAAGCCGAGAGCAGCGATCCACTTAACAGTGGAGGCAAGAAAAGTCGTTAAAACAGGGCAAAATTCACTCGACCAGTGTCTCACCTAGTGACGGGAATTTGGGGCCAAACGGTGGTCGTATGTCGAGGACTCCCTGTATCAGAGGAACTAGTCTAACCACGGAAAAGGGAAGGCTGGGCTTCGGAGAAGCAGGCGGGGGGCCTGAGGATCTGGCCAGGGTGGGGGGCGGTTGTGGATGTCGACACGGAGAACTTTTTTTTTTCCTCCAAAGAGGAAACTGTGGGAGGGGAGGCAAATAAATTGGATAATAGTAATAGCAATAGTAATAGGAAGGAAGAAGGAGAAGGAGGAGGAGGAGGAGGAGGAGGAGGAGGAGGAGAAGGAGAAGGAGAAGGAGAAGGAGAAGAAGAAGAAGAAGAAGAAGAAGAAGAAGAAGAAGAAGAAGAAGAAGAAGAAGAAGAAGAAGAAGAAGAAGAAGAAGAAGAAGAAGAAGAAGGGAAAGGAGAAGAAGAAGGGAAAGGAGAAGAAGAAGGAAGGAGGAGGAGGAGGACCTTTATTGTCATTTTCTTTACTGTGGGCACAACGGCACACATCAAAAAATGAAATTTAGTTGCCCGCTCTCAAAGTGAAACACATACATGACACACACCTAAAACATACTTTGAACAACATATATATAGACCCACACCCTTACACATACGTAACAAATATCAAACCCTGTCCATCTTGAATATATAACGGAAGAAAAAGAAGAAAAGAAGAAGAAAAAGTAGCAAGAGGAGGAATGAGCAATTGGAAGGGCCGTGGGGGAGGCTGCCTCCCAGCCTCCGTGAAGGCTTTCAAACTCAGTGTAAAATGGTTGCAGTTTACTCCAGAGTAAAGAGAAAGGAACCTCGTAGTAGGGAGGGAGAGAACCTTCTCTGAGACCGTGGGAACGGCAGCTGTGGTTTCCGCTCTGTTGTGCCCAGCAAGCCAGCTAATTAAAGGCCTCGACGCGTCTTTCGTTTGCTGTTTTTATTTTAATTTTAATTTCTGGTCTTCAGTTTCCTGTCTTCGGGGGTCTCTTCTGCAACAGCCCCCTCCTCTTTCGGCTGCAGGGAGCCTCTCCCGGCAGGAGGAGGAAGAGGACACCCCCCCCGTCTGCCCTCTTTGCCAGAGACCCCCAGAATCCTCCCACTGAAAGGGGGGGGCTTCACACCTGCCCTGCCAGAAAGAACGCCCCCAAGCCGGGCCAAGGGCAAATCAACCCCCCCTGGGGGTCAGATTTTATTCAGCTTGACCCTTCCGGAGGTCAAAAGCAGAAGGAAACATGGGTAGTCCTCGACTTATGACAGTCCATTTAGTGACCGTTCAGTTAGAACGGCTATAACGCTGAAAAAAGCGACTTTAGGACCGTTTTTCACACTTACGACAAAATCCAGCTGGGCAACTGACTCGTACTTATGACGGTTGCGGTGTCCCCGAGGGGTCACGGGACACACCCCCCTTTTGCGACCTTCTAACAAGCCAGATGAAATTAACCTCGTCACTAACAGCCGCAGGGATTAACAACCGTGGCAAGGCCGTAAAACGGGGCAAAACCCACTTAACGAATGTCTCGCTTAGCAACTTGGGGCACCGTTGTGGTCCTAAGCCGAGGACCGCCTTTTAGTCCTACAGCTGCTTCCGGGACTCCAGACCGCGGTGGAGTTCCTCTTTTCTGCCCTCCGGCTGAGACAGTCTGGGCTGGTTCTGCTTCTGCAACCACACTCGGGGTGTGTGTGTGTGTGTGTAGATTTATACACCTTGGTGCCCCCGGATTGAGCTCCACCCCGAAAGGAATAAGGCAGACCCAGGGACGGGGGTATCCGTTGCTCACCGCAGAAAAGACGAGAGACATCCAGAACAAAAGTCCCTGAGGTTTATTGAAGGGGGGGGGTCTCCTTTCCTCCCAGATGATAAACCCCAAAGACCCCTTTCAAGGGGAGAGGGAGAGGGTCTTTCACCACCACCCCGTTCACGTTGCCCTATTCGGAATCCTTTTTTTAGGAGTTGGAGAGGCCAGTCCAGACCTAAGAATAACAGAGTAACAGAGTTAGAAGGGACCTTGGAGGTCATCTAGTCCAACCCCCGCTCGGGCAGGAAACCCTAGACCATTTCAGACAAACAGCTGTCCAGTCTCTTCTTAAAAGCTTCCAGTGTTGGAGCATTCACCACTTCTGGAGGCAGGTTGTTCCATTGGTTAATTGTCCTCACTGTCAGGAAGTTTCTCCTTAGTTCCAGGTTGCTTCTCTCCTTGATGAGTTTCCATCCGTTGCTTCTTTGTCTCTGGGGACTTACAACAGATCATTTAGTGACCGTTCGAAGTTACAACGGCACCGAAAAAAGGGACTTATGACCGTTTATCACACTTACGACCGTTGCAGAATCCCCGTGGGCACGTGATCAAAATTCAGACTCTTGCCAACTGGTTCATATTTACGACGGTCACAGCGTCCGGGGGGGCCTGCGAACCCCTTTTGCGTCCTTGCTGACAAGCAAAATCAGTGGGGAAACCATATTCACTTAACGACTGGGTTACAAACTGAACAACGGCAGTGGTAAGAAAAAAACGTGGTCAGAAAGATCGTAAAATGGAGCAAAATTCACTTAACAAATGTCTCGCTTAACAGTTCAATTGTAGTCGTACGTTGAGGACCACCCGTAGTAGGCTGACCCCCTCTTACTCCTTTGCCGTCTCCCTGCGACCCCCTCACTCCCGCCCAGAGACCCCTCAGCCCCTCAGGGCCCAGGCCAGGGCGTCTCGGATCTCTACCGCTTCGGCGTCCTCTTCCTCCCCTTCCTCTACCGGCTGCTCCTCCCGCAACTCGGCCTCCTCCTCCTCCTCCTCCTCCTCCTGCTCCTCCTCCATCCAGCATGCCTGGAAGGCGTCTCCGCGGTTCTCGCAGATGTTGTGCAGGGTGCAGCAGGCGGCGATGAGGGTGGGCAGGAAGGAGACGTCGGTGTCGTTGCGCTTGGTCAAGCACCGCCAGCGTCCACGCAGCCGCCCGAAGGCCACCGCCAGCACCGTCCGGGCAGCGTCGGCGTACTCGTTGAAGCGTTGCTGCCTGGGACTCAGGGCCACTGCCCTGTAGGGGCGCATCAACCAGGGCAGGAACGGGAAGGAGCAGCCGCCTAACAGGTAGATGGGCACCTGCACCCCACTGACGTCTCGGGACCCTCCGGGGAAGAGTTCGCCCCCCTGGGCTCGCTGGTAGAGCTCGGATGCACACAACACTTGGGCATCGGTCACCCGTCCCGGACACCCAACGTTGATGTCCCAGAAGCAGCCCCGGGAGTCCACAGCGGCCTGCACCACCAGCGAGTGCCAGCCGCGGCGGTTGTAGTAGCCTGCCGCGTTCTCGTTGGGGGCCCGAATGGGCACGTGCAGAGAGCCCAGCACCCCAGCCAGCTGTGGCAGGGGGAAGCCGTTGCCAGCTGCCACCTCGGCTGGGTCAGGCGGGCGCACGTAGAGCGGGGTGAGGATGGCCACCACGGCTTCACACACGTCGCGCAGGATCTTGCAGACGGTGGAGCGCGACACGCCAAAGAGCTGCTCCACAGCCCGGTACTCGGTGCAAGCGCCCAGGCGCCAGAGGGTCATGGCCAGGCGCACGTCGGCCGGGATGGCCCTGCGCATGTTGGTGTCCCGGCGCTGGATGGCGTTGCGCAGGTGGGCACAGAGGTAGTCGAAGGTGCCGGGCGACACGCGGAAGTTCTCACCCCACTCCCAGGCGCTGAAGGCCTTCGCCCGCACGATCTCCCAGAAGGCCGAGCTGCGTGACTTGCTCCACAGGCGCCGTTCCCGCAGCAGCCGGGGCAGGGCTCCCGTGCCGCCACGACGGCCCCCAACACCCCTCGGGCAAGGGCCAGGCAAGCCGTTCTCCCGGGCCAGCAGGCGGCAGAGCCACAGCAGGGCAAAGCGTTGGCGGGAGCGGGCCTGGGCCCGGCGGTGGCGGGCTGCCCGTCGACGGCGGTCCGCCTGGCAGAGACGGCGGCCCCGCTGCAGCCGCAGGGCGTGAAGCAGGCACAGGGCCACCGTGCCACGGCTGAGGGCGGGCAGCAGCCAGCCGGCCTCGTCCCCGTGGCTGGAGGCGGTCGTGGGACAAGATGGCGGCCGAGGAATGGCGGCCATCGTGGCCCTTGAAATCAAAGCGGGAAGCACGTGGAGAGGAGAGGCGCGGCGGGGCGCGCGTGCGCGTGCGCGTGAGCCCGAACAGCCTCGCGCACGCGCCTCGCAGCAGGCAGACGCTCACACTGTAAGAAGCGCACGCGCGTTAGAGACAGCGGAGACCCGGCTGCCCCCTGCGCAGGCGCAGACGGGCCCGCGCCCTCTTCGGGCGCAGCGAGCAGGCGTTATGGAAGCGGAAGTCTGTCCCGCCTAAAGGCCCCTCCTTCCCAAAATGGCGGCGTCGGCGCTGAAGGTCGCCCTGGTCCCCTACATCCTCCCCGAGCGCTGCTACGAGGAGCTCGTCGTCAACCTCAACCTCCTGCACGGTGAGCCGGGCCCGCCCCGTCCCGAGGGGAGGGAGGGTTGCGCGGTGCCCCGTCGTCGTGGCAACGCGCCACAGGCGGAAGCGCCCCGGCGGCCGGCGGCGGCCATTTTGGAAAAGGGCAGCGGCGGGGCTTTCCTGCGGGGCGAGGGCGGCGGCGCCATGTTGGAAGTGGGCGGAAGAAAAGCGCTGCTCTGGTCCGGAGGGTCGTGCGAGTCGCTGGAGAGTCGTGGGGAGGGGGGGGGAACGGGGTCTTTTCTTCCCTGAAGGGGGCCAGCCCCCTCCCGCCTCAGGGCCCGGACAGGCAGCCGCCCGTCAGGTGCAGCGGCCGCGATGGGAGCCCCCTCCCCCGTGCGGGGCTGCCCGGGCCGGTGAGACCCTCTCCGCTCTCTTCCTCCCTCGCAGTGCCCTGCCTGAAGGCCTTCCTCAGCAAAGCCCTCGGACTGGGCGTGGTGGCCGGTTCGCTCGTGGGTAAGAGACCCTCCCCGCCCCCAGCAGCCCCCCGCCCCAGTCTGCCTGCTCCCCCCCCCTTGATGGCATGTCAGGTGGCAGAGCAGCCTCAGTGGGTCCATCAAGGCGATGGGTACAATTTCCCCCCAGGATGAAGAAGCCTCTGGACCCCCATTCCCTCCCTCCCGAAAGCTGGGGGGGGGCTGGTTGGCCTCCATGCTTCCTAAATGGGGAGGGGGGCACAGCCGAAGAATCAGTGGGGCTATGCAGCCCTCTGGACCCCCCTCCCTCCCCAAAGCTGGGGGGAGGGGGTTGGGTGGCCTTCCTAAAGGGTGCCCTCGGATGGGGACGGGGGCACAGCCGAAGAATCAGTGGGGTTATGCAGCCCTCTGGATTCCCCTCCGCCCAAGGGTGCTCCCTCGGCCTGACCGGTGTCCCCCCCCCTTCTGCAGTGAAGATGCCCCAGATCGTGAAGATCCTGGGGGCCAAGAGCGCGGAGGGCCTGAGCTTCCATTCCATCCTGCTGGAGCTGGTGGCCATCAGCGGCACCATGGCCTACAGCCTCGCCCACGACTTCCCCTTCAGGTAGAGCTGTCGCCATGGAGGGGGCTGGGTGGGGAGGGGGATGGGGATGGGGAGGAGGCCCCCTTGGAGTCGGACCACCGGGTTGCTACTGTTTCTCGCCTCTTCGGGCTGCAGAGAAAGCAGTAACGGTAACCGGAAGGAAGGAAAGAAGGAAGGAAGGAAGGATGGAAGGATGGAAGGAAGGAAGGAGAGGAAGGAAGGAAGGAAGGAAGGAAAGAAGGAAGGAGAGAAGGAAAGAAGGAAGGAAGGAAGGAAAGGAAGGAAGGAAAGAAGGCAGGAAGGAAGGAGAGGAAAGAAGGAAGGAAGGAAAGAAGGAAGGAAGGAAGGAAGGAGAGGGAGATATGAAAAAGGGAGGGAAGTATGGCCGAAGGGAGGGAGGAAGAAAATAGAGAAAAGGTAGGGAGGGATGGCCAAAGGGAGGGAAGGAGAGGAAAGAAGGAAGGAAGGAAAAGATTTTAGGTCTGAGATGCAAAATAAACCCATCAACTCTTGAAGCAAATTCTCCAGGTCCGGCAAATCTCACAGCCCTGCCATGAGACTGGCCTAGAAGGGACCCTACAAATCTGTCCCCCACTTCGGCTTGGCCAGAGCCCCTGCCCACCCCCTGCCCTCTTTTCTCCCTCCCTCCCAGCGCCTGGGGAGAGGCCCTCTTCGTCATGATGCAGACGGTGTCCATCGGCTTCATGGTGCAGCATTTTGGGGGCCACACCAGGCGTGGTAAGTGGGGTGGGGGGGATTTTTGCAGACAGCCACGCCAACACCCCGAAGCCGGAAGTGCTTTGGCGAGGATCTGTTTTGCGACCTGGAAGATCCAATTTTAAGTTGATTTTCTGCTCCAAATAGTTAGAACGGCAACCTGTGCAGCTTTCATAGGGGTGGACTCCAACTCCCAGAATTCCCCAGCCAGCATAGCTGGCTGGGGAATTCTGGGAGTTGCAGTCCACCCTTATGAAAACTGCCTCAGGTTGAGAAACTCGACTAGAAAAGCCTATTGCATTTTGTAACATTTACAAAGATGTTGACCTATGTTTGTGGAGATGCTCAGTCATCCAGGTTGTCCCAAAGGCACTTTTTTTCAAAAGGCAACTGGACTTTTGTGTTTTTTGTTGTTTTTTTCCCTTGAGGACCTTTCACTTCTTCTCCAAGAAGCTTCTTCAGTTCTGCAGACCCTAGAATGGAAGAATCTGCTTGGATGAGAAGTCCGTTTGAAAAACAAACAAAAAAACACCTTTTGTGGCGCTGACTTGGGGAAATTCTCTTGGGCCTCTCCTGCCACCGCTGACCAAACAAGGGGGGGATGGGGAGGGGGGCAAGGAATGAAGGTGGTGGGACCGGAGCATGACGCAATTCCTCTCTGCAGGGCTGGCCTTCCTCTTCATCTACCTCGCCCTCCTGTCTCTCCTGCTCTCCCCGCTGACTCCGTCCGTCCTGGTCACCACGCTGCAGGTGTCCAACATGCCCACTGCGGCCACCGGCAGGGTAAGCGGGACCACCACACACACACCCCAGGTCAGGGGTGGCTTTCTGGGAAGCCAGCATCCCTAATGGCGATAGCTGGGTGGGTGGCATCTCCGCCCGCCACCTCAAGAGGGTTCATATCTCTCTCCAACAGCTCCTTCAAGCAGCCACCAACTACCAGAACGGGCACACCGGCCAGCTTTCGGCCATCACAACTTTCTTGCTCTTTGCTGGCTCCTTGGCACGCATCTTCACGTCCATCCAGGTGTGTGTGTTTGTGTGTTTGTGTGTGAGAGGCAAAGGGAAATGGCCTGGATAGCTGTCGTGGTTCCGACAGATGAAACTCTTCAAAGAACTTTGAGGCATTGTGTACCTTAAAGAATCTTTCTTCGAGAAGCATAACATCGTCGGCACTAACACAGTCGAAGCCAAAAACTGAATTGCGCCCCCCCCTTGAGCACGTAGTATCAAAGCACAATTCCCTCCTCCAATTAACCGTCATAAATCACATTCCCCAATTAGCTTGAAATGCAGGCTTCCCCTCCAGCTCTCCAGCCCGCCAGTTCTTATCATCTCTTATTTCAACAACCTTGATTCTCACCGCTAAGTTTAGTGTTGTTATGTCTAGCTGGACTCTCGTGCACATTCCCCCCCCCTCCCCAGCATCATCTAACTCTAAGAGTAAAACATAAGAAGAAAAATGGCTGCATCTCCATCTGTTGTCAAAGCAAAAACATCCGATGTTAGCAGCGTTGACAATCGCTTTGGAGAGACGGGGCACCCTATATTAAATTTCATAATGCAAGTTGTTCTCAAGGGAGCCCAAAATTTCCCTTTGCTAAGCGAGACGGTTGTTGCGGGAGTTTTGCCCCATTTTACGGCCTTCCTTGCCACCGTTGTTAAGTGGATCACTGCAGTTATTAAGTTAGTCACACGGTTGTTAAACGAATCCGCCTTCCCCCCGTTGACTTTGCTTGTCCGAGGACTGCAAACTGGGGAATTGCGCAACTCCGGGGACGCTGCAACCATCGTAACTACGAGTCAGTTGCTAAGCATCTGAATTTGGATCCCGTGACCCTGGGGATGCTGTAAAGGTCGTAACTGTGAAAAATGGTCATAAATCACATTTTTTTAGTGCCGGCCTAGTTAGGAACACGGTTGTTAAGTGAATCCGGCTTCCCCCATTGGCTTTGCTTGTCTGAAGGTTGCAAAAGGGGGATCGCCCGGCCCAGGGACACTGCAACAGTCATAAATACGAGTCAGTTGCCGAGCTTCTGAATTTGGATCACGGGACGGGGGGGGGGGGAATGCCACAATGGGATTGTCAGTGTGAAAAACGGCCACGTCCCTTTTTTTCAGTGCCGTTGTAACTTTGGACGGTCACTAAACGAATTGTTGTAAATTGAGGCTGACCTGGAAATAGAGAAAGGCTGAGAGTGGGCGTGGAAGGAAGGAGGGACAATTGAGTACATCCCACCTCCTCAATATCTGCCCAGTCAGCATCCTAGCAAGGGACCCTCCAGCACAGAGGCCTTCAAACTTGGCCCTTTGATGATTTATGGACTCCAACTCCCAGAATTCCTCAGCCAGCGTGAGGGAACTAGGACCTTTTTATGACTGGTGGACTTCAACTCCCAGAATTCCTCAGCCAGCGTGAGGGAACTANGGCCCTTTTATGACTTGTGGACTTCAACTCCCAGAATTCCTCAGCCAGCGTGAGGGAACTAGGACCCTTTGATGACTGATGGACTTCAACTCCCAGAATTCCTCAGCCAGCGTGAGGGAACTAGGACCCTTTTATGACTTGTGGACTTCAACTCCCAGAATTCTTCAGCCAGCGTGAGGGAACTAGGACCCTTTGATGACTCGTGGACTTCAACTCCCAGAATTCCTCAGAAAGTGTGAGGGAATTATGAGCCATTGATGACTTGTGGCTGAGGAATTCTGGGAGTTGAAGTCCACAAGCAGGGGTCTTCCAACTCGGCCCTTTGATGACTGGTGGACTTCAACTCCCAGAATTCCTCAGCCAGCGTGAGGGAACTAGGACCCTTTGATGACTGGTGGACTTCAACTCCCAGAATTCCTCAGCCAGCGTGAGGGAACTAGGACCTTTTTATGACTGGTGGACCTCAACTCCCAGAATTCCTCAGCCAGCGTGCCTGGCTGAGGAATTCTGGGAGTTGAAGTCCACCAGTCATCAAAGGGCCCAGTTCGAAGGCCCCTGGTCTGGCTTGAAGTCACCCAGACCTGAGCCTTGTTCACAAACTGAGTATGGTGGCTTGTCCGTCCGCGCTCTGCCCTCCAGCTGGCTAGGCAAAAGGGGAGGATGGCCAGTGGCTCTCTTGACCGGCCCGGCCTGAAATGTGGGCAGGTGCTCCCCGGACCTCCAGGAAAACCTTTTCCTCTGCTCCACAGGAGACGGGCGACCTGTTGATGGTACTGACCTACATCGTCTCCCTGGCCTGTCACAGCCTCATCCTGGGACAGGTGATCTACTACTGGGATGCTACGGGCAAGCTCAAGAAACAGTGACCGGTCTGCTGGCGTCCACCACCGCCTGCGGGCTGCGATGCCCGCAGGGTGACCTCAAAGATGGCAGTGCGCCCGTTGCCTGCCCATTGCACCTTCTTCCTCCTCCTGCCTTCCGGAGTCCAGGAACTTTTGGTGGCCCACGCAGGGCGGTGGGGCTGCACCAGACTGCTGCTTTCTTTATTTGAGGGAGGGGTGTGTGTGTGTATGTGGGGGGGGAAGGGGTCTTTCCTTGCTTACCTCCCCCCTTTTGCAAACAAAAGAGAAGCTGTGCACAAAATGGTTCCTTGGCTTGTGGTTCTTCCTCTCCCCACTAGGGGGGAGCCCTTGCACGCTCAAAAAAACACACACCCTGTCGTCCCCCCCAAGGAGAGCCCCCCTTCCCCATGCCCTGGGGGGTGGGAAGTTGGGCAGGGCAGGCTAATTGGGGTGATTAGGGAGAGCCCAGGTGAGTCAGCACAGCTGCCTGGCTTGGGGGGGAGGGGATGCGGTGATGGATTCACAGCTGGCAGAAAAAGCAGCCCAGGGGTCATGACCTCCCCCTAGCAAAAGGGGGGGGAGCTGAGACTTAGCACACCTCTCCCACCCCCCCCAACCTCTTTCCTGGCTGCCGGTGCCATCTTCCAAAGGGTCGGGCAGCCAGGAGCAGAAAGAACCCTGGGCCCATTTTGCCAGATGTGCCAGGCGAGGCCGCTCGGGCAGAGGGTCTCCTGTCCTGCCAGGGGGGGCTTCTGCCTAGCTTTGGGGGGGGGTTGTGAATCAGTTCATCTCAGCAAAGGGCTCTATAAACAATCTTTCGTTGGTTCGTTTATCGGCTCTATAAACAATCTTGGTTCATTTATAAAGCTTTATTTAAAAAAAACAACAACCCTCCCTACTCCTTATAAAAATGGTTTTAACATCTTCATGCCAGCAGTTCGGGACTGCTTTGTCCGATTCAGGCCAGTGTCCGGCACCCCTCCTCCTTTCGGTCCCAATTGGGGGCGGGGGGGGGCTCAGCATCTC